CAATCAAAGGCGGGGTGGGGCGACCCCGCCCCCACCAATCAATCAATCAATCAATCAATCAATCAATCAATCAATCAATCAATCAATCAATCAATAAAAAAAAAAGCAAAATCGAATATTAAATAAATGAATGAATGAATGAATGAATGAATGAATCAACCAATCAATCAATCAATCAATCAATCAATCAAAGGCGGGGTGGGGCGACCCCCCCCCCACCAAAAAAAAAAAAAAAAAAAAAAAAAAAAAAAAAAAAAAAAAAAAAAAAAAAAAAAAAAAAAAAAAAAAAAACGTTCATTTTTTTTTTCTTCATTTCTCCTCGTTATATAGCCCAACCCCCCCAATTAAAAATTGGTTTGTTTTCATTTTTTTTTGTGTGAGGGGGTGGGGCCGGGGTTGCGCCGCCCCATGGCGCTTCCCGAATTCCCAACCCCCTTCCCCTCCGGCCGCCACGTGGCATCAAAGCCGCACGTCCGCGCGGACGCGTCCGCGGGGTCGAAGGACTGGCCGCGTCCGCGGATTCGGCTGCGCTTGGCCGCCGCCAAGGGGGATTCATAGGCATACGCTGCAGTTAGCTCGTCAGGACTTTTCGACTCGTTGCTTGCACATCACGTAGCCAGGACTTCGTTGAAGCTGGCGGATGAGTTGAGAGAGAGAGTTTTTCGGGCGCGACTGCGGGTTTTATAGTTGCCAGGAGGGGAATAGAAGATGGAGAAGAGTGGGGCGGGGATGGGAAGGGGTGAAGAGGGAGTTTGGGATAGCCGCCCACGGAAAGCCACGTCGATCCCCGCGAGTTTCTTCGCTGCCAATCAGATCGCCGCGTGTGGGGAGTATCCTCACGACGTCGCCCGATGGCTTCGAATATTTTGAGGAAGAGGGAGAGGGTGGGGGGGGGGGAGATCAGTAGAGGGTTTCGGTATGGGAATGAAGGTGGCAAGGAGAAGAGCGCGAAAAGTAGCGCAGAGGGGGACCAAAATTCAGATGAGGAGTAGGGGCGAAGAGTGAGAGGGGAGGGGATGGAAAACAGTTACGGGTGAGGGAGAGAAATCCGAAGAGTCAGAAGAAAACTTGGGGCTCCAGAAGATCGTTCGGGTATGGAAGCTGGTACGTCACACTGGAGGCGCCTTACTGCGCGCCAAGCTTTTCCGAACCGCCAGCGGCGCACTTTCTTTCCTTTTTGGCTGGCACCGCCAGCCATTGTGGCCCGGTAGGCCAAGCCTCCAAAAATTTGTAGGCGAGCAAGCATGAACTTTAATCTTTCAACAAGTGGAGCTGCGGCGAAGGACGATGACAAAAACATTTTGCGAAACACCCCGGACATCGGTTGGACCCCATGTTTGCAATGTACCCTTATCGGACACCGTCCAACTTTGCGAAATGCCCCGGTAGACGGCGGCAGTTGCCAACTTCTCATAGGTGCAATTGCAAAAGGCCAAGGCCCAAACGGGGAGGCTGACATTGAGAATTTGCACACACGGCTGACAGGGGCATAACACAAAGATGTCAGCCCAAAAGGTTATTTTCCTTTTGGGCTGACATCTTTCAGGGACATTTTGAAATACATCTCAACTTATGGGGTTACTTGGCAAATTACCACCGCCCCAAAAAAGGCCGATGGCATCTTTTCAACATTTGGAGGAAGATATGCCAGTCTTCTCTCTCTCTCTCTCTCTCTCTCTCTCTCTCTCTCTCTCTCTCTCTCTCTCTCGTGTGCCCGCGCACACACATACTTCCTCCCCTTTGTGCGACCTCCTCTCCCTAGCGCGACCTCCTCGTCCTCCCTCGTGGCCCCCTTCTCCCGCTCGCACAAACTCCTCCCCCCAAAATTTCCAGGTCTTACCATTTGTTTTCTATTCCGTAGTTCTTCGTTGTTCATTTCTAATTTCCACTGGCAGAAAATGGATCTTCTAAATTCCTCGCACATAATTTTCTCCATCACTAAAATCCGATTTGCTCCTTTGTGTGGGAATTCAATATCGTTTGGGAGTTTGATGCGTTGACTTTGTGGAGGGGGAGAGCTCTACTCTGGAGGGGCTTCACAATCCCGGAAGTGAATGTCCTGGAAGGGGTGTGGGCAGATTTTGGGGGATACTCTATTTTGGGGCTGGGGTAGATGTAAGGGGTGACATCATATCCAGAGAGGGCAGATTAGGGTAAAGGGTAGGCAAAGGTGTACTTTGGTTGGGAACTAGGTGACTACTCTGAGGCGGGTAGTGTACGTTGGCAGGACGGCCTTATGAGCTGCGGTATAGGGTGGTTTTGTGTCTCTGATGGGAACTAAGTTCGTACTGCAGGAAGTTAGCAGAGTATATGCTGAACAATCAATTGGACTCAATCCCTTCAATTTCCCTTGGAGCATACGAAGGTAATAAATCCAGCTGTCCACCCTGTTTTTTTTTTTTTTCCCCACTCTGTTTTCATTTCGGTGACCGTCCAATCATTGTGTTTGGGACTTTGGACCTGATTCCAAGTAGGCGCAGCTCGACACCACTAGATCTGAGCCATCAGACGAATTACAAGAGAAAAAAGAGGAAAAAAAGACCGAAGAGACTATGAGATCACAGCTCCCTTCCCCCCCATTTTCCCACAGGGAAGTAAGGGAGCTTGACTTTTACCGTTTTACGGACGGGCGGATGGTCATGTGGGGTCTGGGAACACTTCGGAGACCCTTTGCCAAGGCTACCTGCCGCCATGTGGAATTGCTTTCAATTTTCTTTTTTTTAAATTGATTCGAAATTTCAGGAATTGGCTTTCTACGTCCGCGCTGCCCGGCTGAGGATGAGCGGCAGAGTTTTCGAAATTGACCAGGCAACGGAGTCCTGTTTCCGGAATAGCCCGCACGAGCTATGAGCTCTGCGAGCTATGAGCTCTGCGGGGAGCTGATGGCGCCAAAGCTCAACGTTGAAAGCAATGGGCCCGCGCGTACGCTGACATGAGATTTTTTTGGGCTCGAAGTTGGCGCCAACAATCGGATTGAGAACTGGCACGCACCAACAAGGAGACCGACCCCTCCGGAGTTGCCGCCTTCAATGGGGGGCCAAGTCCCACTAGCAAAGAGGATTGGATAAAGCGCCTGAATCTGGATGTCTACTCGGGGGCATAGATGCAGAATAACAGTGCAGTCGCGATTTTCTGCACATCTGCAGCAAGGGTGTCCAGATTTGGTCAACGCGTCCCCACGATGGCATGAGATTTCTTTCTTTGCTCCGAAGTTGGCGCCACTAATCGGACCGAAGAGTGGCACGCTAAAAAAACTGGCAGCCACTGGCGCCAGCCATCGGACCGAAAATTGGCACGTATAACAATGAACACGTCCGTCGGGGATGGCACGATTTTTTATTTTTTATTTTTTTTTATTTGGACCATTTCTCGATTTATGCGTGTCATCCTCGCTTGGCTTGTCGGTCGAGGCCCCAGGGGCCATGTTAATCTTCTCTGTATCGTTCCATTTTTTTTAATTTTTTTTTTGCCATTATCGCTTGCAAAAGAAAGAAGAAACAGAGATTTCTTCGCTGGGAAATTGGCGCCAACGATCGGACCGAAGAGGGGCACGGACCGAAAACTGGCAGCCAATGGCGCTCTTCTAAGGCGAACGTTTTGAGGCAGATGGTGCCATGGTGGTAAGGGCGGGACTGTTTAAACTGTGTGAAACAAGTGAGATCGGATATCTCTACGTTTGGCAAGCCCACGCGGCCACGCCAGTTCCGTTGACCGAGCGGAGGGGAAGGTATGTGCTTCTCTCAGGTCATTCCTTCGCCATGACGACTTTGCTGGATCTCTCTCACCTCCGTAAAAGCCAGACACAGCAGAAATAGCTCTCGTCGCCTCTCGTGCTGCATGCATGCCTCCTAGCTTCCTGCCGGGAGGTGCGGCATCTCACTACCAAGACTGTAGTAGTTCGGAACTTTAGAGTCATCCACTGTGTAAGGACTCAATCTGAGAGGTTCTCTCACCACCTCTCATGTAGTGTGATTACACTGGGATGTTTCTGGAAAGAAAGGGAAAAAAGAAGGGTGGGAGGAAGCACAGCAGGGCAGAGACGAAGGGAGAAGTACGAGGGACTCGCTGACGAGTCCCACCTAGCATGTACGGCAGCCATTGCGTGTGCGGCAGGAGCCATAACGTGTACGGCAGCACCAGGTACAGTTTGAGCAATTGGCGGATTTTGAGTTAAGCTCTGTGAGGAGTAATGATTTGACAAAAAAAAAAGAAAAAAAAGAGAGTACTTATTTTGTTTTATTTTATATATATGAAATGAAAGAATAGTTATTTAACGAAGAGTTATAATTTCTTCCCGACTTTGTGGGTGTGCTGCATTTGCAAGTAGTGAGGATTGTGCAGCTCCCGTAATTATATTTTAGAAAGAAATGAAGAGAAACGAGAAGTGAGGATTGTGACACATGAGTGACTGTATGGCCATCTTATTGACTGCATGTGTTGGCGTCGACTAAATTTCCGTGGAACTCGTGCTTGTGTTTTTTTGCAGGTAGAGTGGTGAGGGCTGGATTCGGAGAGCGTGATAGCTCTCTACGTTATGTACTGTAGGTAATAGAGGAAACGAACCGGGTTGCTCGAATAGCGACCCCTTTGCTTTGACGAGAGCTAGATTTGTGTGTGTGTGTGTGTGTGTGTGTGTGTGTGTGTGTGTGTGTGTGTGTGTGTGTGTGTGTGTGTGTGAG